TGCAACCCCCATTTCATTTAAATTAAAAGAAAAACCTTTTAAATAAAGTGGTTACATTCAAACTTTTAACTTCCTTGGTACCATGCTGCAGGTATCGGCACTGTTAAGGTGTTGCAAGGATGCCCAGCCCTCTGGTGTCTGACCACGTGTACCTAGCAACATTACAGTCTTTAGGGATGCCCGGGTCTCAGCCCATGGGCAATTAAGTACATTTAAGCAGGTTCTTCTCTTTCACCCTTCCTGCTTCTAGAACATAAAAGGTTAAGGACTACAATTAAGGAAGACTGGGTATTTCAGAGCTGGCAAAATGAAGTCTGAAAGATGAATCAAGGCCAAAAATGACTGAGAACCTGGCTGCTGCTTAACCTGGCAAATCTTAAAAGTCGTTACTTCAACCTTGCGGGAATTAGGTGTAAAAGGTTTGCTGCAACATGTTCTTGGTAAACAAACTAAGTAGAGCTCTTATTTACAAATCTTGTAACAAATACTTCTGGAGAAAAAAAAGATTTAATTGCCAGACATATAACAAACACACACTCACACACACACCCACACAATATGTCAGGGATTTTTATACAAGTTATTTAGGGCGTAAATTGAGTACTGTACCCCTATATCCCATCAAAAAAGGAACAACAGAAAAAATCCCAATTTTACCCTCCCCCCGTAATCTAGAAAACCCTCCCTTCACCCCGATGTACAAAGTGTCTGCACAATGGTGTCGTCCCACCAGCCACACGAAGCACGCCATACAGATGTCACCGGCCCAGTCACTCCATGGCATGGCCACGGGCAGGTATACAGGGTTTTTTCCAATAGTGGTTAATACACAGAAAGCACCACTGTGAATTCTGAATTAGGCTTTGAGAAAAAAGTGTAACTTAGGGATTTGGGAGTCAAGAAAACTCATTTTGTATCAAGCTTATCTCAAGAAAAAGGGAAAATGGGTTGCAGATTGAAATTTGGCTTTAAGTAGTTTGACGTCCCAATATTCAAATAAACTAACTCCCTTTTCAAATAAACCCAGCTCCATGCACAGAGAAAAGGACAACTCTCTAACCTCGAGCTATCCCTTGACAGCAAATGAATATTGCTTGTTCTATCTGAATGTCATAAAAACTCGAGGCCAGGCTTCTGCCTTTCCAAACTCCTAAGGTGATAGCTTCTTCTAGGCATAGCTACTGGTGATGCAGGCACAGAAAGAAGTGTTCAAATCAAAACTCCCTTTCTTCATAAAAGCCACGATGGTCATATGACCTTTTATAAAGCTTTCCCTGTAGCTCCTGGAGTTAATTTCTGCTCCTGCTTTTCTGACAAACTCAAAGCATCTCCTAGAGAAAGGGAAAAGGAAAAACAAACACTATTCCATTCCCCCAATAAGGACTCTAAAACCCACTGTCACTTCAATGTATATAACAAACAAACCCCAAAAAACTACCCTCAAAAAAAGTGGCAAGTTCAGTTTAGTTGATCATATTATAAGAATGTCAAAAACTTTACTGGACTGTTAACCTCAAATTCCACTCTTAATCAGTTACCTGTAAGAAAATGCTGTTTGAACCACTACGAAGAATAAGTATTGAACTGAGGGCTGAACCTGGAACAAACCAGTTATGAGAAAAAACAAAAAAGGTTATCAAAAGCTCCATAATGGGAAATCAACTACTATTCTTCAAAGATTCAAAGATTTCCACTCACTACCTCCCTACAGGAGGAAAACACCCATTAATTTTCCTACCTGGATTCAATAGGGAGCAGAGATATGAGAGGCAGAAATGTTTTACAACCTAGGGGAAAGCTACCCTTACGAAAACTAACATGTATGCTTCTAGCCCACTCCATTGATTCCAGTCTGAGGTGGGAAAGGCGAAGAGCAGCAGCAGGCTACAACAGGTATAAAAGGTCCAGGCTTCTAACTCTGTGTGTGTGTGTGTTGGGGAGGGAAGTCTGAGAAGAGTCTGAAGAACTAGAATGTAGTGTCAGTCAGCGTAGCTGCCGAATTCACGTTCCAGAGGTAACCCTAACCGCTAACAGAGAACTGAGAGAACGCAAACAAGCACTTTCAAAGTCAATGTCCCACTTCCTGAGCAGCTGCAAACACGACAGTGGGCACTGCCGGCACCCCCTAGAGGCACTCCGGAGAAAGGGGGCGTTCAACCTCGGGGGTGCCCCTGGCGGCACTAGCAGCCTGCTGCCTGTAACCTGTCCAGACATCGCTGTCAGCCTGACCATTGAGCACCTGTTTCCAGTTGAGACACCCCAGCTGTCCTATTTGCATGCATGATTTGAGGGGAAGACCAGAGTGTTTAAAATCATCAGCAAAAACTGGAGAAAACAAAGGTCATTCAGAGCCTGTCTCTCTTGGGACACAGATCCTTTTGTCCAGTCTATTAGAAATATACATTTTTTAATCTCATGAATTAACCTTTGAAAAAGGGATCCCAAACAAAAAGCCCAACCAAATGCACACAAATAACCTAGAGGATGTGATTACCCTAAAGGATGTGCATGTATCACAGAAACGTTAGTGCAGATTAATATACTAAAGAGACTGTTACATAAAATACTAAGGCTAAAGTTTTAAAAGACCCTTCCCCCTAGTCTTCGTGAGGAAAGCACACATGTTACTAGGAATGTTAAGACTTAAAGTTATAAACCCCTAAAAACAGAAGTGCATGGTGGAAACACTGATAGGTTTTTAAAAAACATGTGAACACAAACCTTCTTATTAAAATACCTGAACAAACCAATAAAGCAAACAGAATAATCTTTAACACCTCATTACAAAGTTCACAACTGTAAAGTCAACCATCATGGAAGATAATAGTCCAATTGCTACTTATGTTCAAGTTTTACATATTTGGCTGAGTACTAAAATCTCCAAATTTCTTCTTTAATCACCACAGTGCAACAGTGAAATGACTCTCTGCCACTGGTGCTTTCTTTAAAAAAAAAAAAAAAAAATCACAGAGTAAGGATATTCCTTACAGTGTCTCAAAAATATTCCTTAAATAACCTTTTTCTATGAACATCTGTAGGAAAGCCAGGTTGTTTGAGAGAAAAACATGCTATAACAGTAGATAGAAAGAAAACTGCATTAGTAAATACTGAGGAAGCAAATCTAGATACAAAGGCAGATGTTAAATTTCACTAATTTTTCAATTTATCAGCACACTGTGTCCTGTGCTAAGTTGCTTCAGTCCTGTCCAACTCTTTGTGACCGTATAGACCATAGCCCGCCAGGCTCCTCTGTTCATGGGATTCTCCAGGCAAAAATACTGGAGTGAGTTGCCATGCCCTTCTCCAGGGGATCTTCCCAACCCAGGAATCGAACCCGTATCTCCGGCGTCTCCTGCATAATAGGCAGTTTCTTTACCCACTTAGCCACCTGGGAAGCCCATTAGCACACTAAGACCCCCTCCTAAACCTTGTTCCCATTAGCTCATGGTATCAGAATGTGGAGAAGCAAGCCTACAGATCTGTCCCCTGACTACCTTCATAAGGCATGTGACTGGCCTGTTACCCACTGCACACAGGCCTCCCGAATGCACGGTCTCTCCAGCTCTGCAGAGCCCCGTAAACTGTGGCTGTAAGTGACACGTGGTCAGCAAGGGCACCGGTATAAAGACAAACGCTAACTGAACAGTGTCGGAGCAGCATGTCCCATGCTCCCATCAAGTGCAGGATTAGAAGTGAAGAACAGAACCAGGAGAAACCATGCTCTGGAGCAGGGCGGTGGGCGCTGCGAGCGGGCTACGCAGGAGTACCCTGTGCACTAGCAGGAAGCCAAGAGAGGCGCTCCATATGTTCCTACCAAGAGATGAGAAGGACGGGTCTGACAGCAAAACTCTCTATCCCTCAACAAAAGCAGAGCATGGTTCATGGACTCTGAGTGCACATTTATGGTGCAGAAGTTCAACTCTCTGTTTTCATAAAGCAAAAATCTCAAGTCTTTGTCATTGAGTTTCACATTAACTGGCACTTTATTTTGCTTAAAACCTAAACATTGTCAGTTTGAGAAGAAACCCATTGTGATATATAGATCTCCCCATTTTAATCTTAGGGTTTTTTCTTTTGATCCTTGGTAAAATTTTTTATCCAAGAAACAGAATAGATACATATATATATTTAAAAACATGAACCGTTAGAGAATGAAATAGGAAATCAAGAAAGATTTAAGTTTTGGCGGCCCTTGCTTTTTTTAAGTTCTTTAAAGACTGTAGCTGAATAAAAGGATCACTGGCTCCAAGTCTCCTAGAGATAACAAGTGATGAGACTAAAAACAAGCAAACCTATATCCTCAAACAGGGTCAGGAAACCTCGATTCCCTGCCTTGCCCCACAGTAAAAAACATGAATACCCTTAGTAGCAGTTCAGAATTCATCTTTCTCCCCTACCTGCCCCATCAGTGGAAGTTTAACATCATTATTTTTTAGACATCCGTATTTTTGTATATAGAATATAAACTTGTATTAGATGACAACTGATTTTTTTTTAAATTCAGGTAGAGAAAGAAGCAATAACGTTTAACTAAAACCTTCTACATTTTTTGATTACTGTTCAACTTGCTACCATTTAGCAAAAAGCAAAATTTTCATAGCGTTTACCTCAAATCTTATTGCTTTACAACTGTGGCATACCCTCCATTGAAAATAAAAAGATGAAGCAGTCAATCCAGTGATTAATTTAACATGGCTTTCATTGGGAAAAGGGGAGGGGGCGGAGAGAGGGGGTCATGACGAAGAGACCAATAGACAAAAAAGGTAAATTAAACATACAATGCTTTTCTTTAAAAAAAAAAAAAGAAGAAGAAAAAGAAGAAGAAAAGAAGAAAATGTTATTTTCAACAAAAGGGAAAAAAAGCATTGAAAGCCCATGAGTCAAGCCATAGCCAAAACCATATTCTATCTTAAGTAGCTTTTCTTTTTTCCCTCTTTTTTCCTTTTTTCTCTTTTTTTTTTGCTTTTTAAATAAAATCTCTCCCCAGACCATCATCACTTTTAATCTTCCCCAGACTGGGCTTCCTCTTCAGACCCTTCATCCCCAGATTTCTCAGGCGGGGGACTTGAAGACGTTTTCTTCTCCAGAGGGCTTTCTGGTTCCTCATCTTCTTCTTTGGGAGAAGGAGTCTTTTCCTTTGATGCCTTTGAAGCTGTGGGGCGACCCACTTTCCCCTTGCCTTTCACAGGACTTGGCGTCACTGAAAGAAGAAAAATACAAACTTGGGGAAGGGAAGAAACATCTAACGTTTTTAACAAAAATCAGCTACAGAACAATCTGTAAGAAAAAAAATCATAAAGACGACACCCAGACTTACTGAAAATGAAAGTGGGTACTTGGTTTTCAAACACTTTCAGCTAACATTAGTATGTTAACAGTAATGTTTGTAAATAAAGAAACTACACAGTATCCTTGGTGGCTTGCAAAACTAAGTTGTTTATGTTTAAAACTTGAGTGAAGAAGAGGTGATGCAACTTTATGGACTAGAAAGCCATCAAATACCTGTTTTTTTACATTTTTTGGCCATGCTGCATGTGGGGTCTTCGTTCCCTCACCAGGGATAGAACTGGTGCCCACTGCACTGGAAGCTCCGAGTCTTAACCACTGGAGGGTCAGGGTAGTCCCCATCAAGTAACTTTTAATATTTCCATCATTACCAAACAGTAAGACATGATGAATAAAAGTTCTATTTGCCAGAATAAGAAGGAAATGGCAATCCACTCCAGTATTCTTGCCTGGAGAATCCCATGGACGGAGGAGCCTGGTGGGCTACAGTCCATGGGGTTGCAAAGAGTCGGACACAATTGAGCAACTTCACTTTCACTTTGCCAGAATAAAAAAAAAAAAGCAAATCCAGTTTTCTGATTTAATGACAAACTAGCTTCACCCAGAAGAATATCTGACAGAAACCACAAGGGCCCAAAGAAAATAAACCTATGCTGTCAAGAGTGATTTCATTCTCTGTACAAATCAGAATGCTTAAATGTATTACTGTAGGTGTGTATTTTCACAATTTTAAGTCTTTAGGAGCTGCTGGGATTGTGATATCAGTGGGAAAAAAAGGCAGTTAATAGCTCAGCTGCTGCTGCTAAGTCACTTCAGTCGTGTCCAACTCTGTGTGACCCCATAGATGGCAGCCCACCAGGCTCCTCCGTCCATGGGATTTTCCAGGCAAGAGTACTGGAGTGGGGTGCCATTGCCTTCTCCGAATAGCTAAGTTGGTGCAGTGTTAATAGGTTATTCCCAAATCTTGCCTTCTGTACAGCACTAGTTGAAGAACAGGGCCAAACCACCAAACTCCTGGAGGGGCTGGAGTCCTTAATAATAAATAAATGATACTTCCAGGTACAGAAGATAGGATCCTTTAGTTTTTGTTGTGTGACCACTATCAAGTCCTACTGAAGGATTTCTATAGAGAACGTTTACTGGTGACTTAACCTGACTTCTGCAGAGCTCACCTGTGGCCTTTAGCCTGGGCTTCGGCATTTTCTTTTCTTTTCTCTCAGGCTTCGACTTCTTAACCATCTTTTTGTTTTTCTTTTTTGAACTGCCATAGTCACTATCATCATCGTCTTCCACTAGGAAATCCTCATCACTGCCGGAATCTTCTGAGAGGAAAGAAGAATTTCAACGTCCAACTTAATGCATACATCCTTCCAAGTGAACAAAGGGAGAGAGTGCTAAGAATGGGGGATGGCATTTGGAAGTCAGACACTCTTGGGTTCTATTTGCAGCTGTACTACCAATTCGTAGTACTAAGCTGTACTACAATGGAGCTGTCGTTGGCCCCACCTGTAAAATGGTTTAACATGCACATGAGGGTTACATGACTGACTTGTTTGACGAGTAGGCAGAAAACAGGAAGAGATTAGGCTTAAAGTGGATAAAAACTGAAGCCATCAAATAACTCTTGGTAGTTCTATATTTTCCATATAGTCCTGACAAGACCAGGGAAATGAAAGTGAACTGATTTGGTGTCTTTGGCCCAACTATAAACAAAGTAAGAAACCTACATACAAAGCAAATATACATATAATTAATTAATCTGAGTATCCTGTGAAACATCTAAATTCTTTTAACACCGTTTTTGCAGAGAGGTCTACACCTTTCTCCACTAGGACAAAATACAGATCTTGTTATTCTAACAATGGTTCATTCAGTATATGAGAATGAATGGTGTACTTAATCACTATTTGAGTATTTAATCAGTACTTGAGTATTTATTTGACGAACTTAATCAGATAATAATCATGAGAATCTCTGAGTCTTTTAAAATATAAATAGATATAAAACAATCATCTCTAATAACACTGAGTATCTAATTTAAGGGGCTGATTTTAACACTGAGCATCCAAAATATTGCTGAAGTAAAACTGAGGTCACAAACGACAACCATGACCAAGATGCAAGGCACGTTACGCACTCTCCTGGAATGGCGTCTCGTCCTCCTCTTCTTGCTCTTCTTCACTGCCCACATCTTCCATGAGCATCTCCCTCTGTTTAGAGGCTGCTTTAGAGGCTGCCTGCCGTTGCTGGCGCACATTTTTATGATCTTCTTTTTCATCTTCACTGTCCTCTGCAATATCAAAGTTATAATGCAATGATCAAAGAGTTACAGGTTTGACAGATGACTGGAAAAGGCAATGTAAGATATAAACTGCAGCTTTATTTCATTCAGAAAGGGAAAGTTCTATTCCTAAAAATGTCTACAAAATATGCAAAAAGGCAGGTAAAATTCAAAGAATGAACTTGAATAAGGCTATGCATGCATTATTATGGGCTTCCCTGATAGCTCATGTGGTAAAGAATCTGCCTGCAATGTAGGAGACACCAGTTTGATTCCTGAGTTGGGAAGATCGGCTGGAGAAAGGCTACCCACTCCAGTATTCTTGCCTGGAGAATTCCATGGACTGAGTCAGACAAAGAGTTGCAAACAGTCAGACATGACTGAGTGACTTTCACTTTCACCCACTATTACATATGAAATAACCTAGGCATGTAGTTTTAAGTAATAATAAAGCTGAATTTAGGTATGAACACATGCTTCCTATAACATGCTTTAAACTTACATTATTGCTGTACCCTAAAATTCTCAATTACATTCAAACCTATCTACACAGTTTTTAGAAACTAAAGTTAGAAAAAATATTTTAAATAGTAGAACAGGGGATGACTGTTTTCCAATATATCCATTCTACAATACAAAACATACAGAACTAAAAATAATGCCAAACTACTATCCTTTTCAACGAATGAGGTGTGGCCATTTCAGTTTAGGGGAGACGGAGGGAAATCTTCAAAACACACATTTAGATCAATCAGATCTTAATACAATTTTATAATAAAAAAATTACTCTCATATACTACAGTTTATTAATTAAAGCCTTTTTAGCACATAGTTGTGGTCTTGCATAAATCTGACTTAAAGGGCAGGATGCCAGCCTACTGCCTCTAGACCAAGTTATATTTGTATTAGTTTCGCCTACAGCCCTTCTCCTGTCAAGGTTTAGCTGTTACTCGTTTGGAAACACTAGAATCTTATAAGCCTTGCTATGGTCAGTGTTCAAGTCATCACTTCCACTACCAAAAACTTCACCTGAAGACAACAGACACAAGAACAGAGCTGATTTTGGCAGACTCAAAACTAAACCCACTTGGTAGGAGGTATGCTTAACATTAGTACAGAGTTATTCATCTTGAAGTGCTCAAATGCTTATAAACACGAGAGATTCAGTTAGGGTTTACAAGGTAAATGAGTAAAAGTGTATGTTACATTATCACATTACTAGCTAGATAGTGCAAAAAGTTAATACAATTTCTTTTCAGACAATCATTTAGCAGACTTGAACAAGTGAAAGCGAAACAGCTCAGAGGAGTGCTCTCCTGGTGACTCAGTGGATCCATCTGCCAATACCGGGGACACGGGTTTGATCCCTGATCCGGGAAGATCCCATGTGCTGAAAAGCAACTGAGCCCCTGCACCACAACCCTTGAGCCTGAGCTCCAGAGCCCGGGAGCCGTAACTTCGGTCTGTGTGCCCTGGTACCCGCGCTTGGCAACAAGAGACGCCACGGCAATGGAAGCCGTCAGAGAGCGCGGCTCGCCGCATCCAGGGAAAAGCCTGCGCACCAGCGAAGACCGAGCCTAGCCCATGATTAGGAAAAAATAGCTCAGTAGAGTGAATGCAGTGGAACTTTGTCTACCCTTCACATCTTACCTAAACAGCATGGGGATGTAGATTAAGACTAAAATGGATGGGAGCGAGATGGAACTCTCAATTCTTGAACAAGTTAAATTTAAAAAAATAAATACCAACAACAAATAATCAGGATTTAACATTTAATCTAGTCAGAGTCTCTTCAATTGATTCTTTTAAGTTAAAACTCTTACAAAAAAGCTTTCTCTGTGGCTACTGTTTCAAAGGACCTCTTCACAGCTAAAAAGTCAAACTAAAACTAATCATTGTTTGCTTTTCAACCCAGAGTCATCACTTCCTGTATTTTATACCTGGATTTCACTTAGTATTATATATATTCTATATAGTTTGATATCTTTTATTTGTTCATGTAAGTGGTTTTCAATTTTGATTATGCACAATTTCAATTATGCATGAGAATAATCTGTAAATACTTTTAAAAAACAAAGCCCCAACATCCCACCTAGACCTACTGAATCAGAAGTCCTGGCATGGGATGGACATAAGTATTCTTAAAAAAAAAAAAAAAAAAAAAACTTTCATAGGAAACTGTAATAAGTCACTAGGACTGAGAATCATTGTGAGCTCTTAGAATATGGAAACACTGTTTGTAATGTGGTATTTACCACAGAGCCTAGCATTATTATGAAACCATTTATTAAAATGTTCAATAAATAAATATATAAATAGAATTACAGCTACTACATTAAAAATTGTTTATTACCTGCAGAATGAGAATCATCCTTCTTAGTCTTCACATCTTTTTCTTCTGAGTCCTCACTATAAGAAAAAGGGGGAAAAGTTTAAAAGTCTTAGATCAAAATCCAAGTGAACATAAATCTCTAGAAATCTGACTGGAGAAGAATACTAAATAAAATCTCTGTTATACATATAATAATTCAGATTCCCTAATACATAGAGATACTGGTGATTAAGAACAATTTTATCCACTTTTGGAAAATATTGCTTCCTTTGAAGACCCAAAAGAAAAAATGAAGGTATCTCAACACAGGCTAAAACTTTTCACCTATGCATAAGCCTTGGTTCACTAGAACATTTACTAAGAAAAAAACTTCGTTGTCAGAGACAGAGTATGACTATAATGAAAATAAACCATGTAATGTATCAACGGTGGTAAAGAAGGCAAGTGAGTGGATAGCACCAAATATAAATGCAGCAAATACCCTTATAATTATTAAAGGAAACTGGAGTTATATAAATTACAATATGCCTAAAAATTTATCTAAAGCAAAATGAAAATAAATTAATTATATCCTAATATTGATATTTAGGAGTCCAGTATGCTGTACATCAGAAATCTGAATACACAGGCCTGCCTTACATCATGGAGAAAATAAAAGCGAGCTAAAGATCACTGCAGGGTAAAAGTTAAAGAGCTTCAAAGTTAAATGGAAAATTTTATCAAATTTTTTATGTCACAAAAATGAACATTTTATATCTTCACAAATTTTAACTTAGAAATCTGGTGTCTAGTGTTCTGTCTTTGTCATAAATTAATTAGCTGTATGATCTTAGGCAATTCACTTGGTATTCTTCAGTGCTAAAATTTTATGATTCCATGAGAAATTCTGACAAACAACAACAAAAAAAATCATATATAAAATTGTCTTCATAGCCTTCTTTTTTTCAACAGCAGATTCTGTAAATCTTTTGGTAAGTATTCCCATAATCTAGATCACACTCAAATGACAAACTACTGAGCCCAAGATTTCTAAGCAAAGAAAAAAACCAAACACATTTCTTTACTAAGCAATCTGATCTAAATATATTGTAATTTTGAAAATTGTGACTGTTCTAAATATTTTATGCAAAATAAGCATTTATCACAAGTCTATTACAGTGATGAAGAATGAAATCATTTTCTCTATTTATCTTATGATTGAGTTTATAGAGGCCATTAATCCTTGAGCCCTTTTAAAGTGAAGTCAAGTAATAGCTAAACTTTTAAGTAAAGACCAACAGAAAAATCAACATAATACTGGTCTGAGGGAATAAACATATAAGGTAATACAAATGGCAACAAAAACTGTATTTCAACCATTCCTGGACACATAGGAGAAAGTAATAAAACCAAATGATTGCAACAATGAAAGATGTAGTATAGATATCAATTATATTGATGAGACATGATAACAGGCAATGAAGATGCTCATTCCTAGGGAAAATATAATAAAATAAATACAATAAAAGACAATTCTAAGTTGGGCTGCTGTATGAAACTGGAGTACGGACTTCCCCGACGGAGGGTGGTTAGGACCTTGCTTTCCAATGCATGGGGTGTGGAACTGATCCCTAGCCAGGGAGCTACGATCACACAAGCCTTGTGACCAAAAAACAACCAAAACATGAAACAGAAGCAATACTGTAACAAATTCAATAAAGACTTTAAAAATAGTCCACATCAAAAAAAAAATTATTTGAAAAAACTGGATTAGAGAGATATATTAATGAAACTATGGAAGAATTATCTTCCTACAGTAAAATTTGATCTTATTTTTCCTCAAAATTTTTCCACATTTCTGAAATTCTCCAGGAAAGAAAATATTAGAGGTTAGTGATTCAAGCAAACAGAAAATGCTAGGTGAATGTATTAAATTAGCTTTCTGTGAATTCAGAATGAAAGACTTCTACTCAGGGCTTTATTATACTGATTTTAGTGCTTAAAAGTAAATATCTTAGAAGAACTAATGAGAATTATATCATTTCTTTGAAATGCTGATACTTAATAGTATTGTTTGGAAGTGGTATAGTCTAATGGCTAAAAAAATGGATTTTGGAGTCCAATAGACATGGCTTTAAAACCTGTTGATTCATTTGCCGGTCCTTAGATAAATCACTGACTCCTCTGAGTTAATGTTACTTAGCCTAATAAAGGTTTTGTGAGCATTAAATGATAATGATTATAAATTAGCACATAATAGATACTGGCACATAATAATCATAAATGGTAACTATCATCACCACCACCATCAGGAAGGTCTTGGTATAGTTATACTACCTTGAATTTGAGAGCTTACACGTATGCCTGTAAGAGCAGAGATGAAAGCTATAGTACCCTGGTCTTGTGAGGCAATTACAGTTAAAAATATAACTCATCTGAATTCATTTATAAAATGAAGGGAAAGGGAACAGCTCAAAATGATTAAATTATTTAAACAAAGTAGGATTGATTATATAAAACTCAGCAGGCAAAGGAACTTAAGATTCTATAAGCTTTAGTTATAATTCTGTCAGTGATTTGTGCCAGTGATTTTCTGAATAGGAAAGGTCACTTATTCTTTGCTCTTTCTACAGTGAAAATGGCAATAGTAACTTTGGGCAACAAATTATCAATACATACTTAAACAATCTTTCTGCCTTTGTTCAGAGGTTTGTGGTAGCAACAAAATCATTCTATCATTCCTGGAGCTCACTTGAGACTCCAGGTTGAGTCTAAGCAAGCCTCCATGACCTTAAAGAGGCTAACCTCTAGAATCAAAGCACTGCATGCTTTGATAATATGAAATACACAAACAACACTAAGTGAGCAACGGGCACTTTCCCAAAGTAACTGAAGATTCTACCAGTTTAGAGATCAGAGACTACCCTCATCTTACAGTGGTGGCAGTGTAAGTAGAAACAGATAGGTAAAATGCCTCTTACCTATCTTCCTGTGAATTCTTTCCAGATCGCCTCTTATTTTTAGCTTCTCGGGGAGATGATCGAATTTTCTTAGCTGGAGGGCCTGAATCTCTTCCATAATCTTCATCTAAACAGATTATGAAGATAAAATTTTATTTATGAAGATAAACATTGTCAAATTCAATGAACTGTATTATGATTTTTACATATCAAAAATACCACAGTATTTACTGAGATAATTCTCTCAAGCTGTTTAAAAGCTAAGAAGGCAGAATTTCCTAAATAATTTTCTCTCATTACAAAAAAAAATTATTTTCCACTCTAGTTCCACCTTGACTCAATCATTTTTATTTTTGCCTGTTGCTTTCTAGTCCTCATGTGTATACTTTAATATACTCACAGTCAAACATCTCTTATTTTATATTTTACTCTTTTAATTTGCTAAAGCTTTTTACATGTTTCCACATCTTTGTATTTATTTGGAAACTATTATAGTAACATGGTTTTATTATAAGCATTTTAGAATGTAAAGAACCCACAATTCTACAATCCTAATACAATTACTGTTATCAAGCAAATTACTTTTAAGCTAAAGTATTATATATAGCACACTCTGACACTTGAAGAAAACACCCTCAATTAAAAAAGTCCCATAAAACCTTGAAAGGTGACTATTTCCAAAACTGTTCACTATACCGTTATATACAGTCGTGAGGATCTAGAACAGTGTGAAGCTTCAGCAATTATTAAATGGTTGAATAATTATAAATTATGGAATACCACACAACCAGTAACAAGCATAAACTTTTCATAACACAAGAAAGCTAAGCAAGGGCAGTTGGGAAAGGCACAACAGAATCCAAAATTCTACAGAAAGATGTCATCATATTTTTAAAAGGAAAAAATAAGACCAAAAGCCTTTTAAAACAAAAAGGTTACTTGAGGGCTAAGGGACCTTGAATAATATTTCTGTCTCAGTTTCCTTATCTGTAAAATGAAAATAACAATACTTATAACACCATTTTAACAGGACTGAGCTAAGGATTAAGTGAGTAAACAAAAACAGTTAGCAAGTATTGCCTCTGGGAAGTTGGGTTATGTTCTTTTTTTATTCTTCTTTATACATTGCTGCATTTCCTACATTTCCCCAAAGCATATAATATTATCTTTATAAAGTAACATTAGATTAAAAAAATAAAGAAAAAAGAACAGTAAACACATCTTGAAAATTAGAGTAAGGACATATTCTAAAGAAACCTTTTATGGCTAAGATTTATAATACACTAGCCTCTCTACAGTTAGTTCACAAATCGAAGGTGTTGCACAAAAACTCTCATCTTACTTCATTATGCAAAATACATCAGTTCAGTTTAGTCGCTCAGTCGCGTCCCACTCTTTGCGACCCCATAAATCGCAGCATGCCAGGCCTCCCTGTGCATCACCAACTCCCAGAGCAAAATACATACATGCTCCCTATTACAAGGTATGAGTTTTATTGTGATTACAGCAGGAGATATATTAACTAATAAACAATGTATCAGAATTATTGCACATTTAAACTTTGGACTCCAAAACTAGGTTAAGAAAAAAATTATTGAAGTGTTTATTATCAATGATTTACTAAGGAAAAATTAAAATCCATGCAGGTTCAACATTTGAGTGACACAGACTGATGTAATTTATATGTCAAAATAGTCTAAAAATTAAAAATTATTTCAAAAGAATTAAAAAAGTGTAAATAAGCTGGGTATTCTTCCACTAATCAGTTCAATTTACTACTTACTGAAATCATAAAACTTACCAGCATCATCGGATTCCTGAAATTGTGAATAATCAACGACCTTCCTATTTCTGTAGAAAGAAAAGACTCTAATCAAGATCATAAAAATATAGGACCTTTCTAAGATATTAGAACACACATTTCTATTTCATAAACAGTATTAGAACTAGCTCTCTGAAATTTATTTTTCCAAAAGCCCTCATCTCAGCCAAAAGAATGTCACATTGTTATAGGAAAGCGTAGCTTAAAACAAAAGTATTTCAAACAACAATTCTTATAAAGCTCTTCTCAGGGATAGCTCAAATATTATCCTTTCCAACAAAATAACCTCCCAGGAGTACAGAGAATGGCAAAATGAGCCATAGTACCATATATTCTTTATATACAGAGTCTGATACCATATGCACATAAACCAAAACTGTAAATGTTATTTTATTCACACATATTCCTGATAAATAAGGTTACTACTAATTTTTTCTCACAGCAAAGTGTCTTAGCTTTTAAATATAATACAGTTAATTATAATACACAAACTATGGAGACTGTAAGTTAAGCTTTACACAGAAGGGAATGGAAGAAACTGATTCATTCAAAAGCTATTCTTTGGGACTTATCTGGTTGGTCCAGTGGTTAAGACTCAGTGCTCCCGATGCAGGGAACTCAGGTTCATTCCTGGTCAGGGAACTAGATTCCATATGCTGCAGTTAAGATCCAGCACAGCCAAATATATATATAAAGATGCTCTTTATTAAAGAGCATTCTGGGGGCCGCACCTCACAGCTTGCAGATCTCAGTTCCCTTCCCACAGCAGTGACAGCCTGGATGGAATCCTACCCACTATACCACCAGGAAACTCCCCTAAAGAGCATTTATTAGAGAAACAAATTTATGTATCTACTTGGCTCAATGATTTTTAAGTCCTTTCAGTTCAGTCGCTCAGTCTTGTCTGACTCTTTGCGACCCCATGGACTGCAGCAAGCCAGCCTTCCCTCTCCATCACCAACTCTCGGAGTTTGCTCAAACTCATGTCCATTGAGTCAGTGATGCCATCCAACCATCTCATCCTCTGTCATCCCCTTCACCTCCTGCCTTCAGCCCTTCCCAGCATCAGGGTCTTTTCCAATGAGTCAGTTCTTTGCATCAGGTGGCCAAAGTATTGGAGTTTCAGCTTCAGTCTCAGTCCCTCCAATGAATATTCAGGACTGATTTCCTTTAGGATGGACTGGTTGGATCTCCTTGCAGTCCAAGGGACTCTCAAGAGTCTTCTCCAACACCACAGTTCAAAAGCATCAATTCTTCGGCGCTCAGGTTTAAGTACTTAAAAGTACTTTTAAAAGTATTTCTTCCTAGGTAAAGCATCTTTAATACCTCAAACAAATTTAATTCCCATTTTTCTACTTCATATTCTAAACCTAGAAGTTTAAAATTTCTCCCTTAAGAGAGATATAAGAGCTTTCATGTTAGTATCCAAACAGCCTGGCATTTAGAAGAACCTTAGATGCACTGTAACTAAGGGGAAATTGAACAAATGAATTTAAAGAACTAAGAGAAACATACCACCAACTACACTTAAACCTAAGCTGAGGACTATTCCTGGTTTGATAGATTAAGACGCTTCCCAGGTTGCTCAGTGGTAAAGAATCCACATGCTAATGCAGGAGACAGGGGTTTGATCCCTGGGTGGGGAAGATCCCCTGGAGAAGGAAATGGCAACCCACTCCAGTATTCTTGCCTGGGAAATTCCATGGACAGAGGAGCCTAGTGGGCTACAGTCTATGGGGTCGCAGAGAGTTGGACACAACTTAGTGACTAAATAACAACACAATAGATTAAGACACCATTTAAAAGCAAAAACAGGGCAGTCAGAATTCAAGTACAGGTGCAGCGTCTATATAATATGCAAAAATGAGAGGAGTGAATTCTGAACACATGCTTGGGGCTTAGATGTGAAAGAAGGTACAGTCGCACTCTTCCAAGCTGTGCTGGGTCTCTGTTGTGCACAGGTTTTCCTCAACCTGTGGTAAGTGGGGCTTTGTGTTATGGCGCACAGGCTCTAGGACCTTGGGCTTTGGCGGTTGAGGCTCATGGGCTCGAGAGCTACAGGCTCAGGCGTTGTGGCCCCAGGCTTAGTTGCTCTGTGGCATGTGGGATCTTCCCAGATCAGGGACCAAACCTATGCCTCCTGTGCTGGCAGGCAGGTTTTCACCACTGAGCCACCAGGGAAGCCCTATGGACACACTCATTCTTGATTAAGGAGAGAAAAAGGACTCTAAGAAATTTTGCATTATTTTTCTTTAGTCTACCAACAATGAATTATCTTCTGACTTTATTGCCTCAATGAGTCAAGATGCAAAACTATAAAATATATTGTAACTATGTTTTAAGAAACTGAGTTTATATATTAAAGATACCACTCTATTAGGAAAGTTAATTTAAAAAACATGACTATTAATTCCACTTACATGAGTTACCTAGTCAAATGCAGAGAGACAAAAAGTAGAATGGTGGTTGCCAGGAGTGGGGTAGAGGAAGATGGAGAAGTCAATGGTATGTATCGTTTCAGTTTTACAAGAGTTCTAGAGACTGAATGCACAAAAATGTGAATGTATTTAACTACTGAACCGTACGTTTAAAATGGTTAAGATGGGGCTTTCTTGGTGGCTCAGTGGTACAGAATCCACCTTTAAATACAGGAGGCAGGAGGCCAGGTTCAATCCCTGATGGAGGAAAACCCTACATGTGGCAGAGCAACTAAGTCTGTGCGCTACAATTATCGGGCCCATGCACACAACTACTGAAGCCCGTGAGCCCTGGAGCCTGTGATCTACAGCCAGAGAAGGCACTGCAGTAAGAAGTCCGAGCAGCCCAACTAGGGAGTAGCCCCTGCTTGCTGCAACTGGAGAAGAGCCCACCAGCAATGAAGACGTGGCACAGCCAAAAGCAGATAAATAAAATTATATAAAAGAATCGGGAAAAACCAGCTAAGACGGTGAATATGCTACTTTACCACAATTAAAAAAATTTTTTTTCTTAAAAAAAAAAAAACAACAACAAAACTATTGGGGGAGCTAGTAAATATTGGGGGAGCAAAATAGTGATTTTTAGTGACAGATACCATGAAAAACAACATTATGAACCCAATGCAAAGATGACCATTTTCTGCATTACTTAGTATCAAGGAAAATGGGACACTTAAGCAGGGGGAAAGGATCCAGGAGAGGGAGTTTTAAACTTCAACTTCTAATAATTATGTACAGATTCTGAAATTGCAGGTATAATAATTTTAGGTTATTCATGCTGGTGGAATTGCAGCTAAAATGTGGTACAATTTCCAGAGATCGATAGACATATCCTATGATACTGTATAAAGGCAAGTAATCATAATAGAAAAGGATCATTGTTGTTCTTAAATCATTAAGTTGTGTCTCTTTGGAACCCCATGGACTGTAGCCCGCCAGGCTCCTCTGTCCGTGGGGATTCTCCAGGCAAGAATACTGCAATGGGTAGACATTTTCTTCTCCTTCCTTCTTCATATGAAGAACGACTGAATAAATTGGGATTTGTTTTTTAACTTGCAAAAGGGAAAACAGGTTACTTTTGGTGGTCAGATTAAGTATGGGTTCAATATAAAGAACTTTCTAACAGTTTGCTAATGATAGTTAACACTTCTCTAGTGTATCCCTAGAAACACTCCTTAGAAAGGAATTATGTAGTGATAAATACAGAATCTGCCAAGAGGAATTCCAGGTTCTGGTTCTAGAACTTTAGGCCAATCACTTACTCTCTGGGCCCCAGTTCCTCAGCTGTTGGAACTGATGACCTAAGTTGCAAGATAGATCTAAAAAGTTGCTCAATAAAATTAAACACAATTATCAAAGTTTAATGAAAAACATGACTTTTTCAAATTCAAGTAGTCAATGATCCTTTTGGGCACCACACATCTTAACACATACTGCGGTACCATTTGTTTTCTTCATTAATTTGAGCTCTTTGAAGGTAACAATTATATCTTATGTCCACATTGCTGCCACAGAACAGGTAGGCGCTCAAATATTTTCTGAACTTTTTGCTCTTAGGGCCAAATTTTAAGAGCTCTGTTAGAAATTTAATTATAGAAAATACTGTAGAGGTTAATCATTCAATCTCCTTAAAGTCTGGAGAAGGCAATGGCAACCCACTCTAGTACTCTTGCCTGGAAAATCCCATGGACAGAGGAGCCTGGTAGGCTGCAGTCCATGGGGTCACTAAGAGTCGGACACAACTGAGTGACTTCACTTTCACTTTTCAGGGGTCACTAAGAGTCGGACACAACTGAGTGACTTCACTTTCACTTTTCACTTTCATGCGTTGGAGAAGGAAATGGCAACCCACTCCAGTGTTCTTGCCTGGAGAATAACAGGGATGGGGGAGCCTGGTGGGCTGCCGTATATGAGGTCGCACAGAGTTGGACATGACTGAAGCGACTGACTTAGCAGTAGCAGCTCCTTAAAGTCTTTTTGGATCTCATTTCTTGCCACTTAACAATCAACACCATGAGGCATAATTCCAGCAATCAGGTTTTTTTTTTTTTTTAAACCACTAGGTCCTGCAGCTTCCTGGCTTAGAATGCTATTTGTATCAGTCTCATTCATATCAGCTACAACATCACCTCTCAACACCTTTAATCCCTTACTGATACTACATAAACCACTAATGTTTGTCTCCCCTATTAAACGTGAACTTCTTGAGGACAGAGGCTGTTTCTCCTTCACTTAGAACATCAGATTCAAGGAAGGTTTGATGAGTGAATGGATCTGGCCTCCACAAAGGATTAGGGTGAGAAAGGGCAACAGAAGGGAGGATGTATGTGCCACTGGATGTTTTAACCTATCAGACTTTCAATCCCACTGCCCTTAACAACAAAAGAAAATTCAGTTTTCTCCAAACTAAAAAACTTTATTTTAGATTTAAGAGATTTGAAAGGGGAATTCCCTAGCAGTCCAGTGCTTAGGACTTGGTACTTTCACTGCAGTGGTCCAGGGTTCAATACTCAGTCAAGGAACTAAGATCTTGCAAGTCACCTGGCACAGCC